GTTAGGAAACAAAACTTCCAGAACATGGCCACACAGCCCGGAAGACCCACACCAGCCAATTACAATGTATATTTTTTAAAGCATTCTTACTTTACAGCACTTTTTCACACCTGCCTAAAACTTCTGCACAGTACTGTATATCTTATTCTCAGTGTTGTGCCTTGTCAAAGTGCTGTTAGATTTAGCACCTTGGGGCTTCTGTGCAGTTTTTCAAAGAAAAACATAGGGTTAGGAGCACAGGGTTAGGGTTGGAGTGGACTGGATGGAGTTTTAGTGCCTCCTTTTCTTCAGATTCTATGATTAACTTGGAGAAAATGAGGTTAGAGGCCAAACTCAGTTCTGTTTTCAGAGAGTCCATACTTGCCATTGAGGGCTCTATTTTCCAAGTTCCTCCAGGATTAAAAGATGGCTTTGTGAAAAGGCAGCTGCAGCGGTGATAACACCTGCACCTCCCTTCACCCTGAAGGCTAAAAAGGACCCCCCCTTCCATTTTCAGCTGCTGTACTTTTAAAAAAAAGGATAGCTGGAGCAGGAAGGGAGTTGCAGAAGAAGGCTGGGCTCAGTGACTGTAGGAAAGGGAAGGGAAAGAAATGTGCAAGATCTGGCTGGGAAGGAAGGAAGACAGAAGCCAACCATCCTGCCTAACACGACAGAAGAACCTGAAACTGGCAAAGCAGAGACCTGGGCCAGAAGCCGCAGCGTGGGTGTCTGCTGGCCAGTTGGCTGAAGAACTCCTCCGTTGCAGTTGAGGGTGGGGAGGACAGAGAGAAACTCTCTGTCAGCTGGAGAAAAGGCCCTGGAGGGTTTAGGGGCAGCAGGCCCCAGCAGCAGAGGAGGGGAAAGTGGCTTTGCAGACTAGCACCCACCCACTGGAGAGAGAAGGTGATCTCTTCCTCCAGACTGAGAGGCAGCCATGGGAGAAGAGGGCGAAGTGCCCACCAAGTTCAAGCCAGAGCTAGAGAGGGGTCACAGGAGAAACCAGAACCAGATGTGGCAAGAGGCCGCGCTAGAAGATGCAGCCATGGCAGACACGCTAGACAGCCCAGGCCAGCAGCGCCATCATCATGATGGTGAAGCACAGCTGGCCAGCAGAGGCCGAGACGGCCAAGAGAGAGGTGGCTGGCGCTGGCTGGGATCGTGGCCAAGGTCGGTAGAGTTAAATGTCATAGAGAGATTGAAATTTAAAAGAAAGCCATGCTGCGGGAGACCTGTAGACAAACTGTCAGGAAGCTTAATTTAAAAATAAGAATAGTAAAATGGGAATAAATAAGGAGAAGGAAATAGACTGTGGTAGCCTATTGAAACAGTGGACGTAAAGTAGAGAAATAAGAAAATGGATGGAAGTGATCCTTTTGCAAAGGAGAATTGGCTTGTGTGCATCTTCCTTGGGGTCAGGGCAAGTTGCTTAGCCTGAAAGCTGGCAAGCCCCATTTGCCGGCTCCTTCATTCCCCTCCCAGGGCCTTTCCTTGGGCTGCAGAGGCGCCAGCGTTGAATCCGTACAATGTCTCGGCTTTCTGAGAAGCATCAGTTCTTGGCCGATGTCGTAGGAGGTGTTGGGAGAGCAGGAAGACAGCTGGGCAAAGCTTGTGGAGAAAACTTAAGAACATAAAGAGTCCCTTAATTTCTGGATCAACTAGGAAACCAGGAAGTGTGCCAGTAGCCCTTGTGTAAGAGGCAGCAGCTCAGCCTTTTTTGGATCAAGAAAAGGAGAAAGAGTTGGCTCAGTTGAAGCTGTTCCACTGACTGGCTAAATCATTGAGATCCATTTTGATATTCATTTAGGGAATTCAGCCAATATGTACACTTCAGAGTTTTGGAAATCCTTAATAAGTTGGCCATCGAAAAAAGAAAAGAATAAATTGCTTTTACTGTCTGTGATTAGTAGCAGGCAGAACTCGGTCAAGGATTATCCTAAACAAAGGGCTTTCCCAAAGTGCAGTGGCAGAACATAATAAACTTTGAATACTGGAATTACAGATTACCAGTGTCTCCACTAAACATAGGGGAAAAAGACATGTATAGACGTAACCATATACATTCATACAAAAAACTTCCTAACAATTCCGGCAAGGGCATCAGTGGTGATATTCATCAGGCCAAAGCTTTCCCACCTCCTCCTGTAATCACTAGATGGCCAAATATATCCATGTAATTTACAAAGTCACTGCAGCCAAGACACCCAAATCACCTAGCAACTGTTTCACTAAAATTATTTCCTGGTAACTTGAGAACCAGCTGATTTAAATACAATTTTAAGGCCAGAGAGATTGCAAACCCAAGAGATGACAGCCATAGAGTTGGGAGTTGCCTTGGCCAGTTGGTGTTGAGAAATCATGATGATGATTGGTTGGTTGGTTGGTTGGTTGATTGATTGATTGATTGATTGATTGATTGATTGATTGGAATGTATCGGCCCAACTCCAGTGGACTCTGGAGTAATGCAGCAGCTTCTGCATCCGAGGGACCATAAGAATAATGGCAAACACAAGGGAACAAAGATCAGGAAAGGAGGGTTTGGGGAAATGGGGTAGAGTGCAAGACTTGCTAGGGAAAACAGATTAATGAAGGGAACCATAAATTAAAAATTCATATTACAATATCTCCTCTTGTTTACCAAAGAACCTCACTGGGTTTTCTAGGTTCCTTCCTTGGATTGTCAAAGGAGCTTCATAGAAGGGCCGCTTGGTTACAGCAAGAAAGCTGCTTTTATTATTAGATGTAAACTGCAATTAAATGTATATTATCTTTCTTTCAAATATACTGTGTGTTATAGTCAGTTCTCTGTACCAAAGGGACCTTACTATTGATGTTTTATTGTTCAAAACCAAACAAGAATGATGGGAGAAAAATCATATGGACTTTGGTTATACATCACTTGGACTGAGTTGTAAAAGCAAAGACAGAAGAAAATCACAGCCCCTCTCCCTGATCCCCATCCCCCTTGGAATTTCATCTCTTGAAATGTTCTCTTTAGAGTCATTGTGATGATCTTCTGCATTACTCTCAAAAGGTAGATGTTGCAGTCGCTGTGGTTAGCTTTTAACCCCGAGGTGGAGGAGAGCTGGTTGCTTCTCCCTCGTGATCTGCAGAAGGAGCCAACAGCCGCAAGGTGCTCCCTCAGGTGCCTGGTGCTGCTTCTCTTCAGAGGCCAGGGGACTTGAGCAGGCACCCTTGACTGGGCCTGACCACTGCCTTCCCTGTTCCAGGAGGTACAGAACCTGGAGATGGAGCTGGGGCAGGTCCCAGAACGCTGGAAGGAGACCTGGGACAAAGTGAAAGCTTTCCAACAATCGGAGGGCCCTGCGGTGGACACTGGCAGTAAAGTAAGGGGTCCAGCTGTGGCGGGGATGGGGGCACTGCTTTGGCAAGTTGCTTTTATCAGAATGTCTTCCTTCTGCTGACCACCTTTCTCCTGCAGACAGCACCCAGTTCTCTCTTGATGGCCTCAAGTCTGTCACATCAACGGCGCTCGCTTGGCGTCTACCTGCAGGAGGCAGGCAGCGGTAGCTCCACATTGAACCTCAGCCTGGACAGCGAGAGCAGCAGCACATCTACCCCATCTAGTGGGAAGCAAGGTGGCCGTAAGAGCACCAGCACACTCTATAGTCAGTTCCAGACAGCGGAGAGTGAGAATCGGTGCGAAGGGGTTGATTGGGGGGTCTCAGTGGGCGGAAGGCAGGATGGAGCCCATCAGCTTCCTTTCTCTCCTCACCGAGCCCCTTTTCTTCTGCAGTTCCTATGAGGGCTCCCTTTACAAGAAAGGGGCCTTCATGAAGCCCTGGAAGCTACGCTGGTTTGTGCTGGATAAAACGAAGCATCAGGTAGTGGGGGAGGCACTGGGGCTGGGGCAGGGGACCACTTCTGCCTGGCCTTGAGCAGCTTTGACCTCTGACTCTCCTTCCTTGTAGCTGCGATACTATGACAGCAACCTGGACACAGAGTGCAAAGGGGTGATCGACCTGGCTGAAGTGGAGTCCATCATGCCAGGCACCCCCACCATGGGAGCCCCCAAGATGGTGGATGAAAAAGCTTTCTTTGATGTAAGTTACCCTTGTGCCTGAGGCAGGTCAGCCCAGATGGGGGAAGGGTGAAAAGTGACTAGTAGGGGTGAGGTGGGGTGGGGTGGAGGGCAGTAGGATCCCTTGCCTGGTGCCCCCTGCCTCAGGATTGCACTTCTTCTTGGCAGGTCAAGACAATAAAGCGGGTTTACAATTTCTGCGCCCAGGATGTGCAGCTGGCTCAGCAGTGGGTCGATCGCATCCAGAGCTGCTTGTCTGATGCCTGAGGGGTCCTTCTGGGTCTCGGTGGTCATGCCTGGCCTGGGGCAGCACAGGTCTAAAGGAGGTGTTTGTTGCCCAGGAGGGAGGCCCCAGCCTGGCTTTGCCATGCGCAGTTTGCAGGGAAAGTCGTGGACTGCCTCTTCCACCTCGCTAACAGGAGAGGCCGTAACGAGTCAGGCTTGGGGGGGGATTCCCGGGAGGGATGAATCTGGCCCACCTTCTCCAGACGTTGGCAGAGCCATCGAACTTCCATGCGGCTGCTTCCAGAGCAACTCTGGCTGGCCAAGAATGGTCTCTGCTCTGTCAGGGAAGCTGGCAGAGGGTCTGGCTGCTTGCAGAGGTGGCAGCAGAGTGCCGCAAGGCACGTTGGCACCGTTAGCCGCCACCACCCCTTCCCATCTGCGGGATGGAAGTCCTGATGTCGGGACATCGGAAGGCACAAGGAAGGGTGTGGGGCCTGCGCCCTGCCACTTAATGCTGCTGCTGATGAATGGAGTGGGCTGTTACTGGTTGAAGGCTCAGTCAGGTGGCAGAGGAGACGTTTGTTTGTGACACCCATTGGTCCTTGCTCACTTCCCAACCCTTGCTTCTCCCCCAGCATCATCAGGGCTAGCCCTGGAGTGCAATGCAGCTAATGGCCCCGCCCCAACTTGTGTCCTAGCCTGGCATCCCAGAGCAAATCGTGTAACTTGATCTCTACTCCCTGCGCCCCAGACCCCCAGACTACAGCCATCTTCCACGGGAGCCTGAGTCTGGTCTGATGCTCGCCATTCCCTTCTCCCTTTGAACAAAAGAAGGAGAATGGTGAAGCCCCTAGACCCTGTACATAGTCTGGAGCCCCCATCCCCCTTCCCCACTTTTTTTATTGGTACCATAAAGGCCGTGGCTGGTGTGAATTTGGGGGTTTTTGTAACTTCTTGAGCAGTTGTAGATTATTGAAGTTTCTGTACATTGTGTCAAACCTACAGAGTTCTTGTATTGTATTGTGCTTAGAGGAAAAAATATATATATGAAGAGAAAAAAAACTAATGGAATTTAATAAAAAAAAACACGTCATGGGTTTGGCTGGATGTGACTCTGTGCCTCTCTGAGGGGCTCCTGCAGCTTTCCTGCCGCAGATCAGCCTTGTCTAAATAGTCTTTTAGGATCCAGTTCGGGGAGTCCCAAGACGATGCACTCTACTTTGGGGAGCCCTTTCCTACACTTGGTCTTTGTAGGATGGTATCCAGAACCGGGCAGTGGAACAGTTTAAAATAATGACAAGGGTGGGCCACTTTTTCCAGGCCAAATCCTGCACTCCAAAAAAGTTTGTGGTTCAACACACAGGAAGGTTAATGTGATTTCATTTCATCTTCTTTTTATTTTACTTAATGGAGATAGTAAATGAAATATTTAAAAAGGAATATTAATTTGATAACAAGCCATGTATTTCAGTTTTCCTCTTCTGATGCATTAAAAATTGCTATTCACACATTGCCTGGATTTGCAAGCTACGTTGAATCACAAAATTCATCACATGGGACAGATTTGCAGAAAACAAACCTGGGTTAAAGTCAACTCGTGGCACATCTTGTGCAGCTCCAGGGCTGTGGCCTTTGGATGGTCCAGTTCAGGACTGCTAAGCCAGCACAAGGCTTTCTGTTCTTTCTTGTGGGGGCCACCATAGCCTTTGAGTGTCCCTGCCAGCATGAAGGTCGCTGGGGCAGTATGTTGATGATGCCCACTTGTGTACTTCCGTGCCTGGAGGCAGTTGAGAGGAACAGGCTCAGGCCCAACCCTGACAAGACTGGGTAGCTTTGGGTTCCCAGACAGTTGTGCTGTGACATCTGCCATCTTGATGGGGTTATACTTCCCCAGATGGAACTGGTGCGCAGTCTGAGGTCCTCCTGGACTCAGCTCTTGCTAAAAGATCAAGTGGCAGTTGTGGCATAGACACACCTCATGTACCAGTTATGCCCTTTCCTGGACTGACTCGCCATCACTCTTGCTTAGTCACCTCTTGTGGGGCTGCTGTCGTGCGCTCTGACCTTCAAGGCCACGTGGACACTACAGCTGGTCCAGGATCCAGGTGAGTGTTATGGGCACACCTTGGAGCACTCATGTGAAACCTCTATTCGGTGAGCTGGTTACACTGGTTACCAGTAGGGTTCCAGGTGCAATCCAAGGTGATGTTTGTCACCTATAAAGTCCTACGTGGTTGGGGCATCATTATCTATACGATTTTTTTTTCCTAATTGTTTCTGCCCATCCTCTAAGAGTGGGCAGGGTGTCCCCGCCTTGGGTCCTAGTGATTAAATAGTGCCATCTGATGGGACCCAGAGTCATGGCTTCTACGTCACCATTCCCTGTCCCCCCTCCAACTGCCCTAGGTTTGCCTGGCCCCAATTTGCTGTCCTTCAGAAAACCTCTAAGAACCCGGCTCTGGAAACAGACCAGAAGCCAACTAGTTTATCATAGGTGGTTGAAACTTATTTGTATTTTCCCAATACAATTTATCTGTGTATTCGGTTTTGTATTTGCATTTTTCATGATGTTTGAATGCTATGTGCCACCTTCAGTCTTTTGATTAGGCAGCCTTATGAGTCAGATAAATGAATTAAATTACTCCCATCTTCTGCAACACTGGTGGCAAGCTAGAAGACAAATTACATTTAGTAGAGCATATGGAGACATTAGCCACCACAAAGGCATATGTAGGAAGAGAAGGCTGGTGTTTTAACTTCTTGTCTCCAAAGCATACCAAGAACCTTCAAATTAGATAGTTGCATGGACAGGTTCCGTGACCCCCCCCTTCCCCCTCCATGCCAAAAGAAGGAGATGAATCCATGGAGGAGAAATGGCCAGCTGCTATTAACCATGATGGCTAAAGTAAGCCCTTCTGGCCAGCGGCCACACACAGGTACATGGCAGGTACTGAGGCTGATTGATTCTTGCTGCCTGTTGGTGGGCTTCGCGAGCGACTCAAGCTTGACTGCTTTCAGGGCAGGGGCTGCACTTGAGGAGAACGCGCTCAGTTTGGAAACCGTGGCTGTATGGAATGGACCCAATTCAATATTTCAATAGTTGCCATTATAACCAAGATTGCCACCACCCCCTGCTGCCACCCCCAAGTTACCGGATCCTGCTGCAGCTCATCCCAGCCCTGTGATATCATGAACGCCACTACAACCATCATCCAAGTCTGAGGCCTTTTCTAAAAGGGCCTGTACTTGTAGACAAGCCAAAGACTTCCATGATGGGCAGCAGTGGGCAAAACACACACTTTCCTTGCTAGCCAGGTTACCGGGAAGACAGCATTCCAGTCACCTGCACGTGCCTTTATAACGAGAAAAAGTAAACACAACTGCAGTCTAGATAGAATGGGAGTATCGCCGTCCCCCAGCAGAGAATGACAGGCCTCAGACTTGGATGATGGTTGTAGTGGCGTTCATGATGTCTCCACCGCAGACCTTAATCTCATGAAAGCAGCTGTTTGGCTTCATAAGATTGAAAGTTGTCCTGCTAGCCCAATATTAAGAAAATATTTACAAAATAGTTTTTTTGGCTTCTACTAATAATGAACCCCTATACCAGAAGCATCCAATTTGACATTCAACATGGCAATGATTCAGGCATGCAGGATTTTCTACTTCAAAGTATGCAAACAGAAACTTCTAAGAAGTGCTCTCCGGCACCCCCCCCCCCGGCCTTATCCCTAACTCTGTGATTGAGGCAAGAGGGAAAAAAAGTATCACCTGGCTGGTTTAAGAGTAAACAGTTTAGGGATCTTGCTGTTTGCTTGCCATTTAACCTGTTTGACAACCTAGCACCTGAGAGAGCATGCGCGTGCGCACACCCTGTATAGTTTTCTCAGGACTAGTATTTTAAAAAAATATATCCTGGAGTAGCGAGGAACAAATGTAATAGTGGACTGAATTAATACTTTGGGGTTAAGAGATGCACTGGGAACAGTGGAAGAATTAAAACCTCTCTGGAAGGGAAATTGTAGTAGTAACCTGCATGGGAGCTAATACAAGGGTTTGCAACTTGTTGCAGGGAGAGGAGAGCAAGCTGTCTGCTGCTTCCCTTCCTCTAAGAAATCAAGGGACGTGACAATTTGTGAGCCCCCCGCACTGATGAGCTTCCACTTGGATATGGCACTGAAATGGTCCTGCTAGTTCTGAAGATTTTCCTGCCTTTTGTTGCCGAATATCAAGGTGTTCGGATTTTCTGAGGGGAGGGACTGCTTTGCAGTGGTCCCCATCTTTCCTGTTGTGTCAGAAGATGCTGTTAAGAGACTACTACTTGGCATCTAGGCCACTGTTCTATAGTATCTCATCGGATTCCAGCTTGTCACCATCTTGTCCAGTATCACATGACTCTGATGGGAAGGTCATCTGAAGCATGGGAGTGAAGTGCTATAGGCACTGTGCCTTCTCCAAGAAAGTAGCCAGTCCCCTTGTATGTTGCCTGACATTAATGATGTGCTGGAGAACAAGTTGAATTGAAATGTATAAAAGATGGAGATGCTGTTGGTAAGTAGGAAACTGGATTTGGGTGTTGAGGTTCATCCTACTTTGGAGTTGCATTCCCACTGAAGAAACAGTTTTGCAATCTGGTGGATTTCCTTGAGCCTCAGCTCAAAGGATCTTCAGCTGCCATGTGGGGCAAGGATACCTAGTGTGCCAGCTGTGTCACTTCTTCAGCTGGTTGGATTTGGTGTGGATTAGCTATGCCTTGGTCACATGCCATTATGACTACTGCAATGAACACTGGTGTGGACAGGGAGGGACCCTTGAAATATCTGGCAGTCAGTGACTTTAGTAACCAGGCTGCTAACCAACCAAAAGGAGCTATACAATGCCTGAGCTGAAAGTCTGAATTAGGTATAATTGCTTACTGGGCATAATTTAAGAAATTTAAGAGTCTTCTGGAGTGGGTGGCTAATAATAATAATAATAATAATAATAATAATAATAATAATAATAATATCATCATCATCATCATCATCACAATGAATCATGCCCTTCATCCATGCAGTGATGTTGACAGACTCTATTTAGCATGGAGCATGTTGCAAATATACCAGACAATTGAAGAAGAAAAAAGGGCATTGGAAGAATATCTGAAGGACAGTGAAGAAGATGCACTGAAGCTAGTACACCATGAAGGCTTACTGAATACTGAAGAGACCAAACTGGCCTATGAGAAAGACCAAACGAAGAATAGAAAAGAGACACGGCAAGGCAAAGGATTGCATGGCCAGTACACAAAAAAAAAAAAAATAACTAGCAGGCAAAGCAGATAACAACAAGACCTGGCAATGGCTAAGATCAGGAAAGTTGAAGAAAGAGACAGAGGCAACTAATTCTGGCTGCACAAGACCAAGCCTTAAGAACAAATACATACAAAGCCAGAATCAAGAAGACAACAGAGGTTCAGATTCAGGAGGAATTGGC